GGCCAGTTGAGAAATTAGAGCACAAATCAGACTTGAGATTAATCAAGTCCTCCTCATTCTGTCAACTATCCAGAAATACTCCTTTCTTTCTTTCCTACACCAGGCCAGGAATTTTCCCATATATTCTATTGTGGGATTGTCGATGAATTAAGGTTTTGATTGTCATGGCACTTGATTGAATTACTTATTTAGATTTAATAAGTAGAATTTTAAAACTTCCATAAATCATATGATATGTATTCACCCTATTTCGTTAATAAGATGTATTTGCCATAGCAAATACAACTTTACTTTATCGACACCCTCAGCACACAATTTGATATTGGAAAATGCCTGGCCTTCTTTAAAATTGCCATCTTCCCTGTGACTCAAGTGTACTCGTGGCAGTCGCGAAATGAATAACTTGTCGAATTTATACACTGCACTATCACGGTTCGAGTCCCACTTGGGATGCTGATGAGAACTAGGATAGATTAAAACTGCATTCCACTCTGGAATACCTTTTATGAAAACATGATGTCTACTTATATGGTTGTGGGAAAATTTAAACACCAATACTTCCTCACCTTAAATTAATTAAGATGAATTCATCTCTTATATGTGATCTACCGATTGTCGCAAAAACCTATTCATACGCAAAATATATTAATGTTGTTAATAAAAATCGTTAATATTCCCTATGTTGTTCGGATGCCCATTTAAGCAGACTTTTCCCGTTTCTCTTCCAATCATGACAGGCAACAAAAAGGGTAATACCGACTCATTGAGCCACTCTCTACGAAGCCCACCTTTTGAGCCCTCTGTCCTTTTGGCATCGGTCCATCGCGTCTGCCCGTCGGCTGCCCTGTTGCCGTCGGTCGTATCCACATGCAGTACCTGAGCCCAGCGGGCATCTGCCCAGCTGAGAACAGAGTGCTCAGACGAGCTGAGCCTCCGGCCCCGATGGACCGGCAAAAGGAGCTGCTCGCCCATCGCCTGCTGGCATCGCTCGACTCCTCGGGCTTAGCGGCAGGGGGCTCAGACTCGGCCCGATCGGCGCCAGCCTCGCCCGAAGTCAGGCACCATTTTCAGACCGTTCAGGCCGTGCGCAGACAAGCCGTCCTCTTGGCCCTTCAGGCCGGTCTGGCCGGAAACCACGACAACCGAGCTCTCGCTTCACTCATACAGCCGTCCGGAGCTGCTCGAATTCAGCCACCACCACCACCACCAGCACCACCAGCACCTCCAGTGCCAACGCCAATACCGGAGTCGCGGCAACTGCTCGCCTCGTTTGGGCAGAACTCGCAACTGATGGAGCGACTGGTGCATAATTTCAAGCGCGCCCTGGAGCTCTTCAACCTCTGTCTCCAGTCCGCCTCGGTCGGCCCGCCACACGCCCTTCTCGACGCCGGCAGCCGGGACTCGAACTCGCGTCCACGCGCTCCCCTTCCGCTTGCCTCCGGACCAGCTGGCCTCCCGCACCCCCGGCCCTACTTTGCCAACTTCGCCAGCATCCCCACCCCGGGAGAGCTGATGTCGTGCGCTCGACTTGGCCATCTGCTGACCCGCCGGACAGAGGAGGGCCACGGTGTGGCCGGGGCCCCAGCTGAGATGCTGCCTCGGGCGGATCCGAGACCGGCGCACTGCGTGGAGACGCTCATCTCGGCCCCGGACTTTG